GCTCGGAGATACTGCCAGCCATCCGACCGAACGAATCCAGAGGAATTATTCCAACACCCACGATGATCAACACTCGGCCGCAACTCGTCGTCACCAAAACAGCACTTTTCAGTACTCCCAAAATATCGAGGCACTTAATCAAGTTGACCTCCCCGGATTCGGCTTGTCACCGGGGTACCGCTTAATTAAGTCTGTACCGGCGACGGTCAATCCCCAGACCCATAACTGTATATAATGCCATGACACACCCGACATTATATTAGAGCTCGGCTAACACTCACAAGCACCACTGACTGTTCTGACCCACTTTTCCAAGTCTGATCCGAACACGCCAACGCTTTAATAAGCCCTTTATATTGTATGTTTATTTATGTATTATTCCAAAAAGAGGAAGGTGATTACCTATAACTACGTGCATTCATATTTTTTCACGATCCGGAACATTACCTCGGACATTCCGTTTCAGATATTTTATTAATTTAGATGTAGAGAATTTCAACGGAAAAATTAGTATTTAAACAGAAAATTTATACAAAATTATAGAAACTTGATTTTACGGGTTTTCATATTGACAGGATATTTTCATTGAAAAGTTATATATATTTTTTAATCGAGGTAATTTTGAATGTCTTGCTTTTTGTTTTAAACGCCTTTTTTTTTCTTAACTTATCATGATTAATGTCATTGACTTCCTTCTTTGGGCACGTAAATTGTCATCAAATAGAAATAAACGGACTAAATGACCAACCAGGTTTATTTTTATTTATTCATACCATATTAAATTACATATATGCATCATCAAAGTGTTAAAGAAAAAAAAATATTTTCTAGGTAACTATAATTTGAAAATATTTTACTTCCAGCTTCGAGCCAAAAACTGTTTCGACCTTTAAAAATGTGAATTTTGTAAAACCTCTTTTTAGTACACCTATACTTGGTAGTGATGGACATAATCAAATGATTTCAATAGTCGAGACATTTTTACAATCCAAAGATATCTCGAAATAACGATTCGAAATTTCCCATTAAAATATAATATATAAATATAAAAGTAATATCATTTTATTTATAAAGGTTCTGAGAAAATTGTGTTGTTTTGTGGTTGAGTAATTCAAAACTTATAGCTATATATTTATGTTAAACTTTAAAATATAAATAATCAAGAATAACCGTATACCATCAATATTTGTCTAAAAACCAGTCCCACGAGTAGCACGAGTCGTAAATACAATGACTCAAAGTGAATAACTAGTATTTACTTAATATTCCTCCCTCACTCCTTCGTTCTATGAAAATCATTCGAAATATTTTTTTATTCGATACACATTTCGAGATCAAGAATTGATTGCTTTTAAAATAAACGATATATCACTCGAAATAATCTCTCGGGATACATTTGAATTATTATTTTGATAATCGAGATATCTCGATTACACTCATCACTAATACTTGATTATAAGTTTATTTTCACAAAACATTGAATGAAACATTACCTATGGAAGTTTTTACTATGTAATAATCACCTAGTCAGTGAGTAGGGTTTAAATTATATATGTATATTCATGTATAGATAAATGTTAATTTAATAAATCTATTCTTTCTTTTACATATTCTTTCTAACTTGTTGTATTGGTAATACATTTGAATTTTATTTAAAATAAAATCAAAATATAGAAGTTCGATTTAAAATACAGTCTTGACTACAATTATTTATAAATAATTCAAAAATGATTCAATAATTCAATAATAATCATTGAACTCTTATTGCAACTATTTGTGAAATATAATAAGATAAAAATAGAACATAATAACCAAACTGAGTCGATTTTAATTGGCTAATTTCCATCTAGAGTTTAGGAATTCTATAAGGCAATACTTCTTTTAATTGATTTCGAATATCACGGGGAATAACAAAAGAAAAACTAGTTTTGCTTAACACGAATTTAATATGTTCAACTTAACCTTACCACAACGATGCAAAAGATAAAAGTTCACATTTTAAAACCGTTTACTTCCTCGTGGACATTAAAAAATAATCTAAACATCTCGTTACGCTCAATAATAGTGCATATTTTATGCTAAAGTGGAAGTATATAAATTGCCGTTGTAGTCGCCGAAAACAGAAAAAAGCTCTACACCGTATTGGTCGAATTAAAGCAGTAGCATACATTATAACCATTTAATGTTCCAACAAGACATTCTTTGTAAAGTATTGCCTTTTTTCGAGTCGTTCATCTTTCGAAATAGTCGTTGCATTAATGAATCCGGAACTATCGTATACATTTATACGAATCGATAGCGTATACGATTGTAAAAACACTTGTTATTTAATTGCGAATACTATCGGAGTATTGATTTGTACCTAGTAGTCTGCTGAATGATTCAATAGGCCATAAATATCTGGCACCGCGTACTGTAGTAATTTACTATTAAGTGATCTTTCAAAAAATGCTTGTTTTTCAAAGTTGAAATGCATTACATTTATCGTTCGATACCGAGGGGATGTTGTGATTTCAACCGGGCATGTAGATTTTTGCATGTATTACACGTGTGGTTTGGTCTTAACGGTCTATATCTATGGATGAACAGTTTTTAGTTGAACTATTACAAAACGATAAGAAGTTATTGGCAAGGCCGTAAATGGGGGGTCCAAGGTGTCTGGAACCCCTCCCCCGAAGTTTTTTCAATATTCTACAAATGTTTATAATAATTATATATTTTTAATACCAATATAAATATTTTCAGTCAAACATGACTTAAGCTCCAATTAATCATTAACTGGTTTTAGTTTTATATCATAATATCATATGAAAATATTATTATAGCGTCTAATGATAATAAACACAGAGATCTATGCCAACGCGCCTATATATTATATAGAAATAATATGATTTGTATTTGTGCATTTTTTATTTTTATATTTCATATTTGTACAGCGTAAGATGACAAGATATCTAAGTAATTTTGTGTATTATTATATTTTAATAAAAGAAAATTAAATCTTTTTCTGTCTTTTTTTTAACCAAATATCAAAAGTTATATCTAAATTCAATAAAATTACAATATACATGTTTTGGACCCTCCCCGAAAATAATTTCTTTATACGGCCTTGGTTATTGTTGTTTTAATAGTGGATTCATTTAAATTAATATTTCACTAAAAATTGGTCGGTAAGTTTACCTGCAACAACGATAACCTTCAATGTTGTCAATTACTTATCGTACAACGAAATCGGACGAGCTACCATTTCGAGAAGGGATATCATTACATTTTTTTCGTTTATTTTATCCAATCAATCTTATCGATCCATAGTGATATCGTACTGTTCGTATTGTCAAAGACAATGTATATGATTCGGTTACAAACATTGTTTGATAATAATAATTATATGAATCGAAAAAAATAAAACAATAAAACAATGTAAAATAAAAATATAACAAATAAAATAATGTTTTCTAGTGCTATGTCATTATTCTATCATGTATACATTTGATAAAATACATTATGTTCAGTCAGTTACAAATACGCTTGAATATCAGAATCGTACGGAACAATAAATTATAGTAAATTGCATACTATTTTAGTTGATTTCAAATAAATTTATAAAACATAACTATATGAGATCGGGAGGAATATGAATATATTCTGTAGACATTATACTGTAAAAGGCCTATAAAAAATAATAACAAAAACGATAAAAACTAAATCAATACAAACGATATTCGTTGAGGAAGCCTTTTTTAGTGTATTTATAAAAACTAAATACACATAACTGAATTATCAACAAGCGTTGCAAATAACTTGAAGACAACTTGAAAAAAATAAAATAAATAAAATACAGTGTACATTTTATATTTTACTCTCATATGGCTTATTTATTTTCTGTTTAAACATAAAGGGTTCCATTTCATGAAGGGCCAAATTATGAAATTCGTTCATGGCGGAAACAATATCAGGTTATGAGGCTATGGAGACATTCGTGTACATGCAGTGTGAATAAATAGTGGGTTGGGCTGGTGACCTAAAAATGTATGCAGTAGATAGTAATTTTTTTTTTTTTTTTTAAATCAACATATCACAAGGAAAATACAACATAACTTGTTTTACATCACCGCCTTAAGGATGATCATATTCAAATCGTATATACAGGCTTACGCGAAGTACAGGATGTAAGTGTAATTCCATAATAATACGATGTATTACAAGTTACACGTGTGATATATGATCAGCGATTTAAGCTTAAACGTGAGATAATAATACTATTATTTTTTTTTTATTTTGCCATTATGGTGTTCAATAATTTACCACTATAATGACATTTTAATTATTAGAAATTGGATTAATATGAAGTATATGTAGTAAATAACATAAATGTCTAATTGGTACGTACTCTATAGCTTATTTGGTTCATGTAAAAATGATCCTTCTCACTTAAAGTTGATTTCGAGGTGGTTAAAGAAAACTATTTAGTTTTTAGCGAATTTATAATTTCTTAAGGAATTTTTTTATTTTATAAAATTTTATTTATCGCAACCAGAGCAAGTAAAATGTATGCTTGTGCATGGTTCTTGTTCTGTCCGGTATAATTATCATTATATGGCATCAATAATACTAAGTAATAATAAGACCGACGAAATAGAATACATGTGAAATAGCATCATTGGAAATTTAGTAAATTATCGTGATAAGAGATCTTAGTCCAGGAATAAGGCCCCTTCTGGCATAAATTAGAAAAATCAACACGCCATTTTCTAGGCTATGATATAGTATTAAGGTGATTTTTTGGATAAAACATTGAATATACCACCTTACATTGAAAATCCGCAGTTAACTTGCATTTGCCAGAAATGGCGTTAAAGACATTTTTTGCGAGATTCTAATTAATTGTGTTAATTAACGAATTAGTAATTATTATGTAAAAAAAAAAAAAAAATTAATAACAATAAATAATAATAATAAACTAATAATAATAAGTCAAACTTTTTAAATGTTTTATATTTTTAATCCGAGTGACAGTTGGAGTACTCAATTTCGTACAATTAAAAATCCATTAAGGCTTAAGCTGTGGAAAAAAAAACGAAATAGGTATGTATAATGCTACGGACGTTGTTAAAACACAAAACCGTGTAGATATCTCGACGCCACACGCGAAGTTAATAAAGTATGAAAATCTGCATCATTTTCATATCAGCTGTAAGTTTGTTCTTCGTTCAGCCTTTTTTTTTTCATCCGTCTGTTTTGAAACCACACTTTTACCTAGAAAATCAAACTTAGTAAAAAATATTATATAATATACAAATATAGTCACTAATTAAGTAGAAAGTTTAAATTTAGTTGAAAACTTCATAGCCAGTGGTATATTGGAGGGTATACACGGATATACCTAACCCGGATCCCTATTTTTAGATTTATGCTTATACCTTTAAAACAATTCGTCTATCATGAGTATACGCTAACTAATCATTAGAACATAATGGTTATACGCAAGCTTCTAATTTTTAATCACCATAAGGTATACATTATACAACAATAACAGTATAGAATTTATTATTATTATTATACACTATAGCCACTATCCAAAAATAACCTCGTGTCCGCATAATCTTCAATTACATTTTCCCCGATTTCGGGTATTTGCAAAGACGGTGGGAAACTGCCAAGCGTTTACATACTGTACATCAGAATATCGGTGGACGCGTGCAATAGTATATTATCGAGCGGATATTATAATTGTTAAAAATAAATCAACAGTCAAAAAGTTCTGTTTATCAATTTATCACTATATTAACCGATCTGTATACGATGTTTTGGATAAAATGTGATTATTAATTATTATATTGTTGTCAGTTTGTCACTTAATTAGTATTTATTTATCACATGTTTGTGAAAATTATTTTAAATTAATACTAAAATATTATTTTACATAATAAAACATTAGGTTTCATGAAAATAAATATTAACATCAATACAATTTTTCATACATGATATATACCTATGAGATAATTAAAGATAAGTTTAAAATGTAGACTTCCATAGCAGACGTAGATCCAAGGGGACTATGGGGGCGCGCACCCACTTCAAATCCCCCAAAAAATTATTTTTTGACATTTTGTACTTTCCCACCTCATGGGAAAAATGTCTGGCGATGGTATATCCCACGTCCTCATCATATTATGTAATTTTGAATTTAGGTAGGAAGAACATTTTTTTTTTTAATGAGTTTGGTCCCCCCCTTTCCCACCAATAAACGCATATACGCTAAGCGTATACCCTAAAAAAAAAATGCGAATACACCACTGTTCATAGTCTAAACATTTAGTTTTAATTTGTTATAACTTTTTAGATTGAATTTTATTATCTAATCACCGCGTATAAAAACAAAAAGTATGTAGTTACTTTCACGAGAATATAGATACTTATGAAATTATTTATTTTATAAAAATAAAAGAAATTGTAATCTCAAATATTGCCTGAAATTTTAAAATATTGAAAAATGAATACTTCTGAATAGGTACCATTATCTCATGGTGACTTATGATATTTTAAGATGTTAGTAAAAAAAATTTTGGTACTGTAAAACCATTAACGTGTTTGGTCTACTCATAATCTAAAAGAAAATTCTAAATTGTATTGTAATAAATATTATTAATTTTTTTAATTTTCTTTTGGCTTAGCTTAGTTAAAAGTTATGGACATTTCGTAAATAAATATTCATTCAAATATTCATTCTTAGTTTTTTTTTTTTATCAAAATGCCTGAACTCTGATTGATTGAAAAAATTTGCTAACTTATGAAGCTTTCACGCTATCCATATTAGTTATATCGCCATGTGTTTATATTTAATTATGTGTTATTGTGCGATGACTTTCATTTACACATAATTACTATAGTTGTTAATTTTTAACCATCGTCTTGCTTAAAGAAATCGAGAACAGCGAGTGATTATTATAGTTCAATAGTGTTTTGGTAGGATGTTGTATTTTGAGTTTAATTTTATAGTTTTTACGTGTATTCTATTCACTGTAAATTAACGCTAAACGAACGAAACAATTTCGCAATAGTCGTTAAATTTAATTAATTTTAATGTTTACCCTAATTGTATACACATAATAATGACATGATAATTCATCCTTAAGCTGAGTTTATAAACGAGTAATTTGCACGTTTGGTTGTGTAATAAAATGCATTTACCTGTCGTTCGGTGAGACCAAGTATTAGAGCCACTTCATACCGTCTTAATCGGGTTAAGTATTTACACTTTTCGAATTCTCTCTCGAGCCATCCCAATTGATATTTTGTAAACGCAGTTCTAGATTTTCGGCATTTTGTGAATTCATCGTCTGAAACAAACACGCACAGTTATATATAACGTGTTTTCTAAATATTAGTTGTTATTATCTGGATCGGACATGAAAATAATTTTCAGCAAATCAGATTAGATTGAAAGTTTCAACAAACGCAGTGCAATAATGGCGTGTGCGTAGTCTAAAAACTTTAAAAACAATCAATTATTGGTAGGAGTTCATAAGGTTTATTTATTGCATTAAATTTTAAAGCTTTATCATCGATTATACAAGCTTATTGGCCACGTGTTATCATAATATGATCTCCGCTTATAACCAAAGATTGTTTACAGTTTTTGACTTTTTTGGTAAACCAATTGATGTAACACCTAAATGAGCTGGACAACCAAACATCGCCTCATAAGGTGATCGACCTTAAAAGAAACACATAAATCCTGTACATTTATTTTAAAAATTAATTATATATCATACCAGAGTGAAAAGCACGATTTTTTCGAAATTGGATAAATTTTAATCCAGATGGCCAATCTGTTGATTTGGTTTCCGCCAACCATGTAGCCAACAAATCTTCCACGTCCCGATTCACACGTTCTATAGACCCCTGACTCTGTCTATGTCTTGGTTTTCCGTGCACTATTTTAACATCTCCCTACATAGTATGTAACTCATTAATTACACTATTAACGAACTCTCTCCCATTAACGGAATGTAGAATTGCTGGAGCTCCAAAAGTTGTATAAATTAAGTTATATGCAATTTCTTCTGCTCGTTTAGTCTTTAGTGGTTCTAGTATAACAAATTTTGTTAAGTGATCTTGATAATTCATAATAAATCTGTAATTGTTTATAATCTGTGATTGCATATCAATGAGATCTATTTGTGCACGTGAGTTGTATGCTGAATGCAAAATTGGTTTGGAAACGAGACCTTTTTTTGGGTTAGATGATTTTTTATGACAGTCGGTACAAAGACTCAAAAAAATCATTATTGTTTCTTTTGTTATATTATAATACTTTAATTTTATTTCAGCCATCATACGATCGCGACCACCGTGACCGATAGCTATATGCGTAGTATGAAGAATATCGAATAGCTCTTCGTTTTTAACGTAATAACGTATATCGTCATTATCATGGTTCATGACCTTAATTAAGCGCTCTTTATCATTTATTAAAATAACATCGTACTTACGAATATTTCTATAACCTCTCTTGCATTTTTTTTTTAATCTTGGATGGTTTTAAATCTTCCATACGACGATTGTATTCCTCATTATTTATGAACGATTTGTTGTCATCACGCTTATCGCCAATAAGTAATAAAATTGCTTTATTAAATTCATTTCGAATTTTATTGAGATCCATTTTTAACAAACGTACTGAATGTGTAAATAACAAATACGTACTGTACTAAGAAGAACATACTACTAAAGGTGGTATACTGCATGTACAGGTTAGGGACACTTTTAATAAACCACATAAAGATTGCGATAAATATATCAGATATGCGATAGACATTTTCCACTCAATCTTTTTATCGATGGGTGACGATTACGGGTTTTAGTATGTCGCCGCTACGAGTTAGTTATCGTTCTAATAGTTGTATTGTAAAGCCGGTCCCACATGACTTGCAACATCATGAGTTCCAATACTTTCGTGTAAGAAAGTAATGAGTGATAACATTGCCTAATAAACTATGGAAATTATGACAATTCCTAGGCAATGATATCATTTCCTTCCGCTACTAGGAATTGATATAATTTCCTAGGAATTGTCATCCTTTCCTAAAATGTCAACATTTCCGGTAACATACATATATACATTGGATTTGAAACCAGATAATTTTTCCCATATTACGCGGATGACTATAATAACCGGTGCCCACGTTAGGTGGAATCCACTGTATTATAAATATTTACTTCAAGTATCGGTTTGCTAATAATGTATATACATATTGAACAGCACGATGTTATGTACTATTTTATTGCATATGCCGTGGACTATATGGAAAATTAGTATTATTGTAATGAAGTAGCACATTTGTGAACTAATTTGTGACACTTCGATGAAATTCATATGGCCGACTTGTATCTACATCACGGTTGCCAATCACAGATTAACACCATAGAACCGGAGTACCGTGGATTTTTGTAATATTGATAACGATAATAAATTACAGTGACATGTGAATAGGTTGACCATGAATAATTAATTTCAATGATTTCACATTTATCATTAATCGTGAACGAATATTTTCAAATGTGTAATATTTTCACTTGTTTTTAAGTGATTGTCATTAAAATATATATATTATGATCAGTGGCGGATTAGGGGGCAGGCTAAAAGGCTTATAGCCTAGGACGGTTTCTTTGGAGGGGCGTTTTTTTTTTTTTGTAGAATCAAGTGTTATTATTGACTTATTAAGTATATTTATTTTAATATATTTTTTTTATATTTGTCATATAAACACGAATAAAAATAATTTTAAAAAGTTATAATAATATATTAATATGTACATTGTATGATGTGTACCTGTAGGTTATAGTAAGAATATTACAATTATTATTACAATTTGAAAATATTTCATTAGTAATAAAATAATCACAGTTAGTTACTAGTTATTATTAATTACTTATTAGTACCCATGTGCTTATTGGGAACATCCAACTATCCGAGTATAGGTGTTTTCATATCTGGCTATTTATATTTCCATTTTGTGACTGTATAAGCATTAATTATTTTTACTGGTAATAATGGTATCTGAAGTAAAATAATACACATGAAATATTTTACTTTTAGAAGTTTTTTATTTTTTAGATTTTATATTTTATACTTATTTATTTTATTTTATTATTTTTTTTTTGATAAAAAAGCTGAATAAAATTTGAAAAGAAGGGTTTAGACCAAATATTGTTGGTTTCTTAGTAGAGTGATTGGGGGGCAGAGTGATTAAGACCAGGGGCGCCAAAACACTAAATTCGCCACTGATTATGATACAATTTCTTAATTGTTGTTTGATTAATTGAATATTAATTGATACAGTATTTAGTTTGAATTTTAGTTTTTGAATGATTATTGATATTTAAAATACTAAAATAAAAATTACTTTATTTTTATTTTATAGCTCGAATATACGATCGAATTTATCAATCTCTAAAAATACTTTTATTTTATAATTTTCATAGAGTTGACAAACTGTAAAATAAAATTGTAGTTGTTTTCTAAATGAAATATATAACATTGTATTATGATGAATATTATACAGGGGAGGGTCAGTGGGTTCTGACAAATTTTAATTAACATTTTTTTCAAGTATTTTTCTGACTATCCATAACTTTCTGTAGAATGTGCTCATCAATGACTGTAATTTATCGTATAATATTTTCTTCTTACTCTAAAAATGTATGTGGCTTATTAGTGATCATTCTAGGTTTCATAAAGGCCAAAAAAAAAAAAAAAAGCAGATGACGTAAAATCAGGAGAACGTGGTGTGACCAGACAATATCATCATTGCGCGAAATCACACGATTCGGAAACATTATTCTAAGAACGGCCATTGAAATACGCACTGTATGACTAGTAGCAATATCTTGTTTTGTTAGAAAAATAATTCGGGATCTTTTACTTCATCTAATCGTTGTAATTCATCTAGCAATAAGTTGTTTAGTATTTCCACACAACGTTTAGATTTTAGAGTCGCAGCCATCGTATAATTTCGCTCAATGGTGATATTATCATACGGTCATTACGTTCTCCTTATTTAACGTAACCTGATTTCTTTTCATTATTTTATTTCTAATATTTGACTAATAAACTAAAATTAAAATTCGTCAGAGTCAGAACCCACTTCCATATCTTGTATAAACGTATATTGTACATAACTTGATAGTATTTCTATGATTTTTTTTTATTCCAAGCCACATATTTAATAGAAATATTTCTTGTTTAATTCATGATTAAACAAAATATATTCAGAAACTTTTGATAATTGAATAAACTAGAATCTAATTTCAAAATAAAAACTTAAAATTATTTTGAATATTTGGATTTTTCATATTTCAAACTTTGGTGGAACAAATTTTCTGATTATCAGATGTAGATATTATAATGACTTTGAGTTTATCTCGCATTGTTTGAACATAAATTCAAAAAAAAATACTCAATTTATTAATACCAATTTGAATGGTCGTGGTACAAAGTTTAACGTTATTTCTATTGTCATATTTTTTTAATGTTTTAACTTCTTCTGAAATTTATCAGAAAATCGAAGAATGCCATGTAGAAAGTAAAAACAAAAACGTAATTGCAAAGTATACCCGCCTCGTCAGAAGTCTAAATAGTATTGGATTCTGTTGACCTTTGTGATATTCTTACGTAAGTATATGTCAATATTGTCAACGTAATAGTTCAGAGACTAAGGGTGTAAAATTTAGGATATACTAACGCAATATTGCTGTGATATACTGTGTGGTTAAAGTAAATTAATTTAATAATAAAAGTACAGCGGTAATTTATGATATTTTCATCAATTCTCTGGAAGTTTTCAATTTACTCACGATTATGATACTCTGTAGTTATAATGGACACGTCTATATAATAAATTTACTTCTTAGACGACAATACTTCATCATGGTCATTATCCGTGTTTATGAAATATAGTAATCGTACACTGTACACTGACGTTATTATTTACGAAACATATATCGATAATCTACTCAAAGACTGTATTCTGCAAAGATCTATGAACGTGTTAATGTTCACTATAGTTTATGCTGGTGGTAATCATTTGAAATATATACTTGTATAAGAATCGGAAAACTAAGTATTTTTGTCTTTTTATTTTTTTACAAATTCGAAAAAATAGTAAATTACAGTATATTATATTATAAATACTTTTACTGTAATAATGACAATTACGATAATCATGTACTGTGGATTTCAATTATTTTTACAATTAATACTATGGTGATAGCATCGTTCATGCGATTGAATCTTTTTTAATTCTTTGTAATAGTGTTTCCACGACGTTAAATGTTT